GTTATTCTCAACATTCCAAATTATAAAAACGGGAAATACATGAGAGGGACATAGGGGGTGAAACTTATTCTATGACTACCCCTCAATATCACAAGCTTTCCACTTTTTTATCGAGGAAGTTGGAAAAGATTCGCCAACAGTTGACAGTGTTTACTTTGAAAGATTTTCGATTTCACCAGAGAAATAAGACATCTCAATTTGTTCAACTAATTCATATCATATGACTTCTCTATTCATAAGTATACTTCTCCTTGAGACAAAAGACGCTGTTTGACAACTCACAGAAAATATCCCATTGCCAAAAAACAGAAATGGAGAGTCTAATGCTTATGTGCACCAAAGATCTTCAGTCCCAGTTCAACGGTATCATGTACGAACAAGTTGACGGTGCGGATATCAAAAATCCACTACGACCATTAATCGTGGATATCTTCATGTTACACTTAGAAAACACCACCCTACAACCTGCAATACATGAAGCCATGTTTTATTGAAGATAAGTTGATGATAGCTTTTTTATCTTTTTTTCAACAATGCACATCATAGTATTAAGTTTAAGATGGAATGCGAAGAGAAGTAACAGTAGCTGAGTACGTTTGACTTACTCTCTAGAAGAAATGAAGGCGGTGCAACAAAGAGGAGCATTCATTACGAAACTACACGGAGCGGTCAGTATTTAAACTTCAATGGCTTGTACCAAATCAACTACATGAGATGTTTAGTGAAGACGTCGTACCAGAGGGCTGAGAGAGGTTATGCCCTGAAGAAAAAATACAAGAAGAATATCAACCATTCGAACAATGTCTACGCAATAATGGTTATCCGATGACGACTGTGCAACAGTACTGCAAAAGCAAGCAGAAGAAAATAGGATTTAGTACTATTGATAAAAAACCAGTGTTTTCTACTCTGACTTTCAATGGAGATGATATTGAGAAATGAATCAAAAAATGAATAAGAAGTTCTCTGTTGAGTACCAATGTGGCTGCGAGACTCGTCTCACTCTGCCAAAAAACATGTACAGTTACTCAAAGTTTCAACTCTTATTAACTCCATCCGTACTTATCAATTTATGTGTACATGCAGTACCAAGTACGTGGAAAGAAAAGACAGGCAGTTGTCTACAAAGATTGCTAAAAATATATCAAACAGTCTACGTCTCAGATGTTCAACCTTCTTCAGTAGTGCAATAAGTAGTCACTTATGTGATTCTTGACACCAAGTAGGTATCATGAAATCCTTTATACTATTTAACAGACAAAAAACTTCTAACCTACTTGGAATTCCATAGGTTATCATGATTCGACGACTTCAACCGCAACTGTGTGCTCAGAAAGGGACAGCTACCTGCTTTTTATTGTGCTGTGAAACAGTGACTTGTCATCCTCTCATATTTCCTAAAAATACTTCTAATACATTTATTTTGTGCCTATTGACATTGATTAGCGCTTCATTATTGCTGCAGTTGTTATTATTACCAAAGTTTCATCCAACCCACTTATCAATTTGTCATTATAATATTTTACCATGGTTACACAACCCATTCTGCTAGCTTTTAATTTTATCGCACATAGCTGTGGACACTTTTCACCTTGTCTTATATAACCCTTATGTAGTTTGACTGGATTCATTACCTGAACTTCCTTTGCATCCTGAATCACTGTATTTTGGTGGTCTTTAGAGGATTAACCAATATCTTAAAATGTTCTGTATAAGATTGCATGCAGCTGAAGAAAATCCCATGAGATAAAATGACGTCATCTTGACCTGTGTGTGGTGTTTTCGTTGAGTTATTCAACTTCAATATTGGCTGCTTCCAAAACCAAAACATGTAGCACAATCACAACTGAAAAAGAAAAGTTGTTTTTAGGAAAAAAGCAGGTTATCTATAAGCTCATGTCACGTTGCAGCCATTGCATCCTTTGAAATATAACTCAGCACACGAAATTCTGTCTGTTTGTAGGCTATCCAATCCAATCTTGCTTTGTAGATTATGATAAAATGAAGTATTGTTTGCAGCAGAAGACCACAGATTTCTTCCTCGCATCGTTTGCTCTTGGCAAAATCACCGTGTGAGCAATGCTGAGGTTAGACGAAGTGTGCTAGGTAAAAAAGACAAGTCAATTGATGGGTTTGTGAACCTTAGTCAACTGAGGTAGCTTGAACATGTACCGCACACTGCCAGCCACCACCTACCTCGACGTGTTATGCCACGAGAAGCTAAATCATGTGGGAAGAGATCTAAGTGTAGTCAGACCAAGTTCTGACACCAGTCCATGAAGTCACTGACTGTCGATCTGAGCCGTGTGAGTAGACGTAGACTGACTAGTTGAGGTCACTCAGATGACAAGAATCAGTGGCTCAGGACTCTTTTGACATTCCTGAAAATCGGTCAAGATGGCACAGATGAGTTCACTCCTTGACATCTAAACCTTGAATATTTGTGCTTGTCGTTTTTTCAGATTATTTATTGTCTCACACAATTTCCTCTGCTTTAGCATCAATCTTTTCCCATCCATTTGTCCTTGTATACCACTATGAAGTGTGAAAAATTGTGGTGATGTATCTGTATGCATCTACGGTGATTTTATCAATCAGTCAGTACGCCCAATGACATACTTACTCGCCACTTAGTTAGGCAATTACAGTTTAAGTCAATTCTAAGTATAACGACTGTAAAGAAAAAGTACTGCTTCCGGCCCTTAGCCGCTATGTATCTCCTTCACTAACCAACAATCTTAAAGAATACTAGATTTTCTTTAGTTCATCATTATGACGCACTAAAAATGTGTGAAAACTGAATTATATAGCAGACATATTTTGATATTCAGTAATACATTGAAAGCTTTTTGACTGTATTGTTTAATAACTTATTCGTTAATTTTAAAGCACGGTTATTGCTTTACATTGGTATGTATTCTGCCATTTAACACAACAGGTTCACTTCAGAAGATGAGTGCGAAGGTTTCAGTTCATGCCCTTGACTACAAACCATTGAATCTTTTGTTTTTGTAACTTAAATGAGGTAGAAAACATAAATTTCAAGCTACGTTTTAAATATGAACCAACACACTCATTATTAAAAGAAACTCTTGAAAATAAACTTATGATTTTTCGTACCTATAGTCCCTAGCTAGTCTCCTGTACGGAAGCGTTCCAAAAAAATGTTTTTTGAACTCTTACTTATACTTCTTGAGGCTGGGATATTGTTGTTTGGTTTTAATATTTCGGTGGATATAGAAGTAGTTACTGACCTCCTGATTTTTACTTCCAGGAATTCAACTGTCTATCGGTTGCTTCTACTTGTAGATCAGAGACTCGATAAGTAAGAAAACTACGCAGCTGCTGAAAAAATTGGTCTTTTGGCTATTCTTATCTCTGTATGACCCTAATTTGCAAAATCTAGTGTCAGTTAGTTAACAAGAGTAAAAGAAAGATAAGCCAATTGTTTGGTGGAAAAAGGAAGAAAGAAAATATCTGTGTGTGAAATAAGCAAATATCAGTTGAAATTAAAAACTGGATAAGTGGTAAGATGATATTACGTGGATACTACAGCAGACGAATTCAAGGACACGGAGAATTGGTTAACGATGCTAACGTTGTAAGCAAACAATCACTTGAATGACCTTATAACGGAGGCCATTCCTAGTTCCAATGAGAGAGTAGTCCTAAAAGTTCGAACTAAGTGGGAAGAAATTGACACTTATATTCGTGTTAACCTTATTGTGTGCTACTCTTACTGGATTCCTAGCTGAAAAAATATTCTGGCTTTTTATTGATTGTTTCTACGAGGCATCGTCTGATGAAAAATCGAATATAATTTTATCAGGTCATATCATTTTCTGCAATAAATAAGAATAAACAATCTTTTCGTCAGAGACGCTTAGGGTAGAATTTTCTATCAAGACCGACACCATGTTTCTCTACTCATTTCTGCGTTTTCTGTCAAAGGTCTTAGTGTGACATCATAAGTGAAGAGGCTACTGCATGAAGATCCCCAGCATTTGACCTTGTGGATGCTTCAAAGACTATGACGAAAAGTTTGGAATTGGCATTCTAATGCTATCTCCAAAGGAAGTACGCAATGCCGTCTTCTCTTGCGCTTGTTTTTTCATAGTATACCAGCTACCTGTCCAATCTCTGTAAGTGGCTAGTAACTTGATGGTACAAGATCCACCATCAATCAAGACGTGTTTAAACTTGTGTTGTAGAATTAGTGAACAATGGTTCCTTGGATTCTGCGTCTGTTCGGTGAAGTTAATGGTGTCACTTCTACAGAGAAATTTTAATTAACTGACTATCATTAATTAATTAATGATCAGACTTACTAGTGCCTTAGATAGCATGGTTTATAGAGCCAAGGTCTCTCGTTTCTGTGCTTCGAAAACAAGAAGTGAATTTTTCCACGCTTTCGACATTTTTGCTTTTGTTGCGTAATCCACATCAAGGGCTTTCTTACAAACCACGAGTTGAAGTGCTTGAGTCAGTGTTTGAAGTTTAATCATTTTTTGAGGCTTAAAGTTGGTCTTTGTATTTTCACAACTTAAGTCCCTATGGCGGAATTTTTATCGACTACTTCAGTTAGCACACGGTACTAGTGAATAACATGGTCAGCGATAATCATGTCTCAGGTCGTCCCAGCTGTAAATTTCCCGTGGATGAACGTTTGCAATGTGATGCATGTGGATGTTGGTTCCACAAAGTTTGTACCGGATTGACACCAACCGTGCACAACAAACCAGCTTCTCCCTGGTTATGCGATTTCTGCTGCAAGCCGTTGCCAACACTCATCCAGGAAGCTGTTGGAAATTTACTTGTCAAAAAACAGGTATGTGGAAGTGAAAGCTGTCATTCTAATGCGGGATCAGATAATGACACTGCAAATGTTATCGTTAATATATCTGACACAGAATGGATGCTAGTGATCCAATTGGTGAAATTACACCAGTTCTGAAGCATACTCAACACAAGAGAAAACCGATAACAGATAGTACACCAACCTTGATGCCTGAAGTTTCACCTGAAGACTGCATCTCTGGTAACAGCGTTGACTCTGTAAAAGTGGTTAACAAATCTACATGGATTTCTCCAAGAAAGCATTCGAAGAGACTGGCAAAGGTTATCATAGAAGATACTAAGCTTATGAAACCTACTGAGAAGGTTTCGAAGGCCGTCAGCACACGACTAAAGGATTCCACTCCAACAACCAGTTTAATCTTCTGGAATGTTAAGGATTCATCAGACAAAGATGCTTCAATACGTCACGACCATGGTCTGAAACTAGCAGAGTTGGCCATCAGACGTATTCTGCCTGAAAAGTCTAAAGGGGTGCACATCTCCAAAGTAGTTAGGCTAGGTAAGAAAATGGACGAAAAACCTGATGAAAAGAGAATTTTAAAGGTTGTTTTACGCAACAAGGATGAAGTGGATGTACTCTTGAGCAACTCATCCAAACTATGAAATTCGGATACCCGCATGCGACCTGACTGGTCCCTTGAGGACCGCATAAAAAGAAGAGAAACTGTTGCCAAACTTAAGGTTCGACAAGTTAATGGAGAAAAAGACTTTAAAATAGTGGGTTTTCAGGCTATAGGGTCTTGAAAGCGAATGCTTCCAAGGCCTATATGGGTGAGTCATGAAACTCTTTCAACACAACGAAAGTGACTTACACTAATGTTCTCAATATTAGAAGTAAAATGACAGACCTCGAGACTCTAATCTGCAAACTAGGTCCTGACATAGTAGCCCTTACTGAAACCTGGTTAATAAAGGATTTAGATTTTACGCCACTCCTCACAGGTTATTACTGCGTAAGGACGGATAGGGTTGTGGGTCGCAAAGGTGGCGGCATACTACTATATGTTTGGGATGACGTTCACGTACGACTAATCACTTCCGAAGCACATGAATGCGGGACTTGTGAAGTGACCAGTTGGGAGCTGAAGTCAAAGCAAGGTGTCTGTACTATCAGGGTCATTTACCGTAGTCCATCCTGCCTTGCAAATGACTTCGTGCTAGCCCATATACTTAACTGGAGTAGAAGTAACAGATGCCTAGTAGTTGGGGATCTGAATGCTCCACACATAAACTGGACGGAGGTAACAGTCTCAATATCCGGTAGTTCCTTCGAAAATGACTTACTCTTGATGGTCTTAGAATCCACTTTAGTCCAAAACTTAACACGTGCAACACATTACGATTATGACCATAAGCTATCGTTATTAGGTTTAGTTTTCACCCATCAATGTGAAGACATTTTAAACCTACGACACTTCCCTCCATTAGCTAACAGCGATCATGTAGTACTAACCTTTGGTTTTCATACCAACGAGTTTAGTTATGATACTGCTTCCCCTAGACCTAATTTATGGCGCGCAGATATTTCAAGTATAAAGGACTGCGCAGTCAGTAAGGATTAGACCGTCGACAAGGACTCGTCAATTGAGGACGCATAAAAATAGGTTTATAACCCTATTTGCGAAGGTGACGACTCCACAACGATCCTCACATTGCCCTCCGTGGTTTTATAAAGACATTAGGAGACTATTAAGGTGGAGGAAATGTTTATGGGACTTGTTTCTAGAAACTAGACTGGAAACATTTAAGACTGAGTACTGTAAAGTCCATAATCTCTGAAAAAGTTTGATTATACAATCTCGAATGTCCTACGAGAAGCAGCTTGAGAGGGATTGCCAAAATTAACCTAAAAGACTGTTCGCATTCACCAGAAGGAGGACTCAAAGAAAGGGTGAAATTCCCTCTCTGGCGGCAGATGAGAAGTCCCATAGTCTGGCAGAATCTAATCTGTCCAAAGCTGAATGTCGATCGGGTTACTCTAGTAAAGTATACTCTCTAGATCATGACGATGGAGTGCTAAATAGTGTTGTCAGCACTGTTCCACTAATAGATACTGTGTTCACAACAAAGGAGAGAGTCTTACAGTTGCTCATTAATCTTAAACCTGGAAAATCCCCAGGTCTCGATGAGTTACACACCAGACTTCTATCTTCGCTGGCAGACATCATTGCTGAGCGAGTCATGGATCTTTTCAATATGTCCCTAACTCAGACTTGCTCCCCTCCCCCCCCAGAGACTCGAAAGATGCCATAATCAGCCCAGTTTTTAAGACCGGTAGTCGCCATTTGGTGTCTAACTATCGCCCTGTGAGTCTAACTAGCAAAATTGTGATTTTAGAAAATATAATTCGTGACCAGGTACTTAAACATGTTGCATCGACCAATCTTTTGGCACCACAAAAACACGGCTTCCGTACGGTACACTCCTGTCTAACTAACCTCCTTATCGCGAGAGAGGAGTGGGTTGCAGCCCGTGACTGCAAGCTACCAACTGATGCCGTGGTTACGGACTTCAGTAAAGCATTCGACAAGGTGTTGCATGTGAAATTACTGAGAAAGCTCTCCTCCTTCGAGTTTGGTGCTTTATTGCAAGCCTGGATTAGGGACTGCTTGTACGATAGAAGGCAAAGAGTAAGGATAAATGGAATACCATTAAGGTGGGAACCCGTGATGAGTGGAGTTCCTCAAGGAACAATCCTAGGTCCACTAATTTTCTTGTTACGTATCAAAGAATTGCCAAAAATGCTCAACTCTTCAGTACTGTTATTCGCCGATGATGTACAGATCTGGAGAGCCATATGCAGTGATGCAGATAGGTATGCACTTCAGGCGGATTTAAATGAACTAGTAGGTTGTTCCAGACTTTGGTGCCTGGAAATCAACTACAACAAAAGTGCGATAATGCATATTGATCATAGCCATTGTTTTCAATATTCCGTTGATGGTACACCACTACTCCCAGTCTTTGAACTAAAAGACTTGGGTGTCATCAATAGTCATGATTTGAAAACCTCAAAAAACTGTAATGCAGCGGCAGCGAAAGGCCTCCACGTATTATGGTCCACCAGTATAGCTTTCAAATGTTTTGATCACGACACGTTCATAATACTCTATTCTACTTACGTTAGACCTCACTTGGAATACTGCATTCAGGCGGCCAGCCCATGCCTTACAAAGGATGCTGACGTACTCAAGCATGTTCAGAGGGCAGGTACTAAGCTTGTAGCAGGCCTTTCGAATATATTCTATGAGGAATGACTAGATCGGCTAAACTTATTCCCACTATCTTACTGTAGGAAACGGAGTGATCTTATACTGGCATTTCGTACTCATAATAATGACTTCAGTGCTGATATATCCTATCGTTTCACCCCTGCTAGGACTGACTACCTCTGAAGGCATCGCAAGAAAATTCTAAAACCGCGATCGAATCAACTTAGCGTGAATCTGATTTTCTTCCATCGTGGTGTCAACGACTGGAACTCCTTACCTCAGCAAGTAGTATCAGCAACTTCTGACAAAGCGTTCAAGGAGAAACCAGATCTTCACAGAGATATCTTCTGCAAGGATTAACACAGACCAACTGACCTACTATCCTTATAAATGAAATTTTACGTTATTGTTAATCTGTTTCCGTCAAACTATGAGGTTTTTTATGCAGTTGCAACCCAAAAGATCAACCACTACTAAAAACTGAAGATAATTGCACCATACAGCTCCAATCAGATGTCTAATCCTATATTCAACAACATATACAAAACTACTCACAGAATCAGAAGTCGTATTTCAAAAACAGAGATAAAGTTGCAAGGTCAACCAAGTTCTCAATATTCAATATCTTTTCACGAGCTAGTGTAAACCAATTGATTTCTTCTCGCTCGCTTCTAGGTCTTGCGGAACGCTTCCAGATCTTTGGTGGATCCCAATGCAGTAGGTCTACCCACTCGACTGCTGTAGCTCTGGTCAACCCGATGGGCGCTTGGGTGTTGTTTAGGTTTGTAGGGAGTGTTGTTTGTTTCTTTGCTTTTTCTTCCTAGGACTGTGGTGCAGATGGGTTCCTCAAATGTCGTGCCAGGAGACAATTGGTTGGACTGGTTCCAATATCCAATATTGATAGTGCGAGCGTAGAAAACTAGTAGTTTTTGATCTCTCGCGTCTAGTTCTTAGGGCTTGGTTCCAGTTGTTCGGTTTACTCCTGCAGTGGACGAGGAAATCCCCTCTGCTTTCTTGCTTTTAGCTTCGGTGAGGTGGATGTTTTGTGGGTTAGTAGGTTGTAATTTGTAGAGTGATTAGGGAGCTACGGGTTGCTGGGAAGTTTAGAGAACTGCCATGACTCCTGTCTGTGTAGGTACCTGGAAGAGAATAGTAAGGTAGTGGTAAAGGAATGAAGAGAGAATAAAGAAGAGAGTGAAGTAGCACCATAGAGACTCTGGGAGCTGGGTTAAGGCCGTATCGCTAACCATCCTTGCCTTGAAACAGGAGTTTACGTAGATAGCCACTCCCCCTCCTGCTCTATGTTCCCTGTCCCTGCGGAAGAGTTCCATGCCAGCAACACGCATCTCTTCGTCGGAGATGTCCGATGAGAGCCAGGATTCGGTGATGAATATGATGTCGGAGTGCTGATGTTCACGCAGCGTCCTCATTTTTGCTACCTTCCCTATTAGCCCCCTAACGTTGCTGTACATACATATTAGAGTGTACCTGATGAGGGGGAGGTCTGGTTGTGTATTTTAGCAGGATGACAGTTTATGTGGTTGGGTCTACCCTCGCCAGTCCTCATAGGACTGGCATTGTTCCGTTTTTTTGTGTTTTGTTCTTAACTTGGGTGGGGGCTGTAGCAGTGGTGGCTTCTTTACTTGATGTATCTAACTCACTGGTCAGCGCCTGTGTGACGACCACTGACTCCAGAGGTCTTGGTGGTTGCCGTCTCTCCTCTTGCCTTGTGGGTCTAGGCTTACTTTCACATATACGTATTGAGCCACCCATGCGATCTTTCGCATTATACCATGCGTGCAGAACGTCTGTGAGGGAGGCATATGAGTCGAACTGGACGGCAAGTAGTCTGGGATTGGGTATGGTCTTCAGGTGCGCTGGCCTTGGCAGTCTACTGACGCTGTTGGCCGGTATACTGTTGAGACCAACTTTGCTTGCTGGTTGTAAAAAGGAGATGAAAAATATGTGCAGAGAAATCAAGGGAAAGAAAGTGCAGGGAGAGACGAAATAGAAAAGGAAAAAAGGAAGAAGAATAATATATATTTGAAAAAAGACTAGGGAAAAGGAAACAGCACGGAAGAATAAACATTGTTAGGTTCACGGGGAATAGGTGATAGGGAGAGCTTTTGTTAAAGTTCTAGAACGTAAAGTCAGAAGTAAGAAGAACAAATAACATTATAAGAAGAATGGGAATATGGTAATTCTTTTAGTAGAGGACGGTAACTGGAGGGGACGTCTACAGGAAGGCATAAGGTTAAGCCAAGTTCTCGGTGATAGTGGTTTTAATAAGTTTTCAGTAAGGGTTGGTCTTACCGAGTTAGTAAGTCGTGTTAGCCTAGTCCACATCCCAGTTGGATGAGCGCAAACCGTGCGTCGCTGGGTAACTGTCCAAACTCTCCTTGGAGCTGTCAACAGACGGAGCAGTAGCAATCTCGGCAGGCGGTGCATCCCAGTGGCTGCAAACTCGCAGACGGAAAAAGTGTTAACGCACATGCGCTTTCGCTCTTCGGTGAGTAATTCTACCCGGGTTGCCAAAGGATCGCCAGTGGCCGTTCGGTAGGATTCCACTGTTCGGATGGGTTGGTGCTATATAGGCCATTACCAGCGTGGAGACCTTCTGCACTCAGCATAAAGAACAAAATCCGGATTTTCAACACTAATGTCAGCCAAGTCAGTGCTCCTATATGGTTCGGAAACTTGGCGCGTTACGAAAGGGATTTTCAACAAACTACAGACATTTGGCAAAAACTGCCTACGCTGGCTCGTTACCCAAGCTCAGATAAGAAGGTCAGAAAGAATAAGCAACAAGGAACTCCGGCTGACTGGCAAAGAACCAACCGAAAGCTTTCGCCCAGCAAATGTGCAGAGGGAAATGGAGATGGATTGGGTATGCACTGAGAAGACCATTTGGGGACACCACGCGCCGGGCCCTCGAGTGGAACCCCGATGGGAAACGACCAGTTGGGTGTCCGAGGTGACAGTGACATGGATGAGAGCGTGTTAGAGAGAAATGAAAGCTTGTGGGCAGGCAGTCGTGGAGGAGGTTCGAAGAGCTGAGAAGAGAGTGGAATGAGGGCGTGCTACTGAAGCCCTGTTCCTTTGGGAGCCCAAGGGACAAATATATAATAACAATAGTAATATAAGCCATTATCAAGTCAACCCGTAATCTAAGGTAGCTAAGATGGTGGGGTCCCAGGTCTTTCAGCCTGTCCTCATAGGGTTTTCATCTTATTTCCACGACGCCCTTTGTAGCTCTCCTTTGGACCTTCTCTAGGAGGTTCAAATCTCTTTTCGGGCATGGTGGACCTCTAAGTGAGGTCGTATGTAGGTTTTATATAGCTTCAACACGAGTTTCAGGGCAAGGGCGCCTGGTCGTTTTCGCATGAAGTGCAGTACTGCATAGGCTCTGGAGTCGCCTCCTGGATAATTGCAGCAAGCATCTAGCTTGTCGGTGAGTATTGATGCTAGGCCTTTCTCCGCGGGAGCGTGGGAAAGTTGTGTTCCACAAAGAGAATAAGGTACTTTCTGAGTGTCAGGGGTGTGGAGAAACATGGTTCGTCAACTATGCAGGTCAAATTCTACTCCGTTATTATCCACCCATTCTAAAAAGGAGGAATAGCAGCGGGACAGGAACAGCTCCCCGTTTTACACTGGATAATGTTGTCCCCCAAGTCCAGCAAGCCCTGTAGGCTACGGTGCAGAACTGTCAGCCGCCTAAATAATCCTGTATCCAGAACAGCAGTTGGTCCTTAATACCCCAACTTGATATTTTGTGAATAAGAATACCGTGCGGGACCATGTCAAAGGCCAAACGCGAACAAAAGTTTGAGGCCCCAACATGGTTGTGTCAAGGTACTGATGCGTTCCGTCTAACTGGCTAGGGGATCGATTACCATCAGTGCAACGTAACACAACATCGTGCCAAGTGGCGAGGAAGCTTGACCGAGTGCCTTCAGCTTAGCGAGTCCAGTTAAACTATGAAGGTTAGCATCAATATTGAATCTCTCCGAACCCCAGGCTATTGATTCTGGAGAAGAGTGTGGCGCTACTTTTCGATATCTTTCGGGTTCTGCCTCTCTCCTCTTTTGAAGGTGGTACACGGAATGGCACGTTTCCACTCTCTTGGAAGGCGGTAATTATCTATGTAGTACTGAAACAGATTCCAAAGCGGATCGTATGATGCTGCTACTCGTTGTTCAAAAACAGCCAGAAGGATGTCATCACATCCTATGTGGAGCTTTGATAGCTTTCCAAGGACCATAGTTGGAGTTACCTTTGCTCGAGGCGACTCCACTACATTTGGTACTGCTATATATTGGTCGGTTAGTTAACAGTTTTGGTCTGATGGAGACGTGTTCAGTTGTTTGTCGAAGGCGGCTCTAATGGTTTCGGCTATCTGTAGTCCAGAGAGGCTCTTTCCATTCAGGCCCTTCAGGACACAACTTCTCCGGCTGGTTAACTTTTTGCCCACCATAAATTCATATAAGTTTTCGGGGTTTGCCATAAGCTTCTGGGCAAGATTCGTCTGAAACGACCTCCTGCCCCCTACCCTTAGATGTTGCACCGATTTCTTAGAGCAACATACACTGTATTATCAAACGGCATCCCGAAGATCCCCCATTTATGCCACGCTTTCCTCCTAGCCTTCAAAAGGCGTTCACTGCCTCGCTTCGGCCATGTGGTTCGCTTCCTCGTCGTTGCACTGATTACTGGGATGTTTTCGGAGACAGCCCCCTTTATGATATCACTAACTAGTTCTTAATGTTGATCAACCGAAGGATTACTCCACCCCTGGGGCCGTGGTGCTGTTGACAGATATCCGTTCACTGATGTGTAGTTTGCCTTACTGTAGCAAAGACAGGGGCGAGATCCTTCCCACGACAGTTGTTTGCCGGATATCATATCGAACACCGTCACACCATGATTGCTGTTGCCAAGATGGGTTTGAAAATAATAATAATAATAACATATACTTCACACAACAAAAGTTACATGAATACAAACCAGCTTACAGGTTTGATCAAGTTTGAAGCTGAACGTTGGTGTATGTTGAGCCTGATTGGTTGACAACATGCCTTTATTTTTCTCAGAGTAGTGTGCAACGTTTTGATAGGATGGCTGCTCATTTTTCTATTTACGCCACCCTGTTTAAACTTTGGGCGAGCCAAATATTTCCACCCAATACTTTTCATCGAGTATCTCCCTTATAGTGAGTTTTAATAACTCATATGACCTTCCAATGCGTCACGTACTTACGCATACTTTTGAAATGTTTTAAAATAACTTCATTGTAATTGGCTCACCTTTCAGTTCGAATGAATTTATCGTCCCCCCCTCGCTTTGATCGGCCAGCTTGTATGTAGAAGGAGTGAGCCAATCACAAAGAAGCGACCTCAGTAAACTATCCACATGGTTGTGCGCAACTCTGAGAATATTGGTGGTAGGCTTTCAACTAAATGCGTTCAGCATACTCCCACTATCTCATCGAGCGACCAGCAAAACCACACTCAGGTAAAGTGGCAAGTTTTGGATATCCACGCAGACAAATAACTTCACTTCCCTGTGAAGCTTAGATACACTG